TTCATAACAATCAGAATTCGATCCACAAACCATCACACGATCCTTTCCAAATGAAGTTGTGAATTGCCATGTCTGAAAAATTGAAACTGTTTCGTCGACGTAAAGTTCACTAAAATTATTGGAAATAGTATTTGGGGAGACCAATAATCAGTATTGATTTGTTATAGTTCTTTCTTCATTCTCAATAAAACGATTTCATATATATGTTGCAAAAACTAGTGTTTATGTGTAATTTATACCGTTTTAGTCTTATTAATCGATTGCTATCGCTTCTAGTAATCATGTTTTTCTTTTATTTTTTTTAATGGAAAGCAATGCTAACTTCCTTTTACTGCGTGTCTGAGGCGTCGGTATCCACTTTCAATCAAGTGGATCGATTGCCTGTTTATCTAGTTATAATACAACGCATATCTATCGCTTGATAACATAAAACTATTCAGTTTACTCCGTGGAAATCTATAATCACCATTTAAATCAAGGAAATAGATGATTGTAGCTCTTACTATATTGAATCTTAAGACTGTCAACCAATAATTAATAATTATTTTCCTGAGAACGGAACTATAGGGAAGATTCATGGTGAACGTAGTTGAGTAGCAAAATAGCAACGTACCACCAGTCATTCCCGGGTGGTTTCGAAGTGGTAAATGGTGCTACTGGGGCCATATATGTTTTTCAGTGCGTTCCCGTGGCTCCAGACGTATTAATTCTACTGTCTATTTCGTGGCCAAGAGCTTTCATGTAAAATTTGTACCTAACAACAGTGAATTAAATTATTGGAACCAAATGTGTTGGTAAAATTTTTCCATTATTTTTAAGGCAGAAGTTATCATATGACACATTATAACATACGCACAAAAAGCTCTTACGCTCGTAATCCATAGAAGTAGCCAGAGACACGGATATCCATTTAGCAGGATCCTGACAATCGCTTCTTTCACAGCCATATATCTACGCATACATATCTACCTCGATTAAAGGTATCCTGAACTTAGCCCACTTTTGTACCATAATCTTTTCGTTAAACTTTCGTCTAGCTCTAGGGCGTTCCTTGCCGACTCTGCCATTCACTTTTGGGGCATAAATTTGCTTTGTCACTCTTTCCTCATCATAACATTTACCTATCAAAACCACACTTTTGTCGCATAATTCCTATTCCTATCGTTTAGAGTCAATATTAACATACTTCTTAATTCATTAAATGCACACAATATATTCAGTTAGAGACTGACACAGCACTATGAATCACAAAACATGTCTTTTTTAACCCATTCTGTCTAACACCATAGAGTCAAGAGCCTCAATCACGTGTGTGTGTTCTGTGTTTACAGCGTCCTATATTCTTGACATGTCTACCATCCCTGCTAAACAGTCATTCTTAATACCAAAACTCATCCACTTGCCCAACCAGCTCCCTTTTTATTCTTCTTTCACATGTCATTTTACTTTCTTCTCATTCAAAGGTTATTACTTTCGTCTCAATTGCATTCTCTTTCATTCCCCTTTCTTTTAAACTTATGTGCATTATAGTAACCATAAATTGCATTTCGCCTGCCGACGACGTAAATATGATCGTCGGTGTACAAAAGATATTTGACGTCTAAGTAAACGTGGTAGAGCCATGCTGCATCTGGTGCAGCTATAATATGGCACGAATGGGTCGGCTCGACCGGGGAAGGACCACGCTCTCACAGAATACCAGCGTAAAATAGCAGCTTAATACTGCTGTGTTTCGTATGATGAGTGTAGAGTACCGGAGACCCTTTTGGTGACAACGCATCTGCATTTTGATTCTTTAATCGAGGATAAATGTAGATGGCTATGGGCCACAGCATCCACTTACCATCAGGTGGACTGTGTGCTCGTTTGTCACCCTTATTCTATAAAAAAGTCACCTGTTCTCAACTCACATTCTTCGGATTTCAGTTTCCAAACTGTCCATAATTAACAGATTGAACAGTCGTAATTTCCCGAACGCTACCCAGCCATTGACTTATATATTACTAGCGTAAGGACCGGGCCGACCGAACAACCAAAACGGACCATTGCGCTGGCCCTAAAATTACAGTTTAGGGCCAACGCGACTCGGTCGACAGTGGTGCGCGCGCAAGACAGATTTGCCTGTCATAAATATGTCTAGTTGCGTGGTAAAAGAGTGCAAAAATAAAAATAACAGAAAACATATTCAAATGCAGCGGTGCAAATTTTCGGGAATATCACGTCACCATGTTACCCTTACATACACCTCTCTGCAGTTAGATAGGTTTCTTACTCTAGTTCTGTACTCGGATAACCATCGTAGCCCCTCTGTACAAACGCTCCAGCACTTCGATATACATACCGACAGTCAACTTGGTACCGCTGAAGGGACTGTAGCCACCCAAATTTCGACGGAATCAAAGACTTTCTCATAGTCCACATACACAAGGCAAAGTGGCAGATTTTACTCTTCTGTACAATCTGCTGCAGGGTATGTATGTGGTCTATGGTACTGAAGCCTTTTCGAAATACGGCTTGTTGGGAAGGCTGAAAGTCGTCGAGTCTGCGTGCGAAACGATTCGTAATGACTCACAAAACAGCACGTAGACGCGGCTCAGAAGGGAAATCGGTCTGCAGTTCTTCAAGAGAACGTTGTCGCCTTTCTTGAAGAACAAGACCACCGCACTTCTGCTTCACGCCTCCGGAGTAGTGCCACCATGAAGGACGATATTAAAGAGCTTCTGAAGGAATTTAAATACTGGTTTTCTACCCGCTTTCAGAAGCTCCGCTGTAATTCCTTCCTCGCGTGGGGCCTTGCCGTTTTTAATCTCGCTCAGACTGACGTCAGAGATATCATCGGAATAATGTCGTAGAAAAATAATAATGTTTCTTATTTCTTGAGCACGTGTGTGTATTGAGCACTTTTATTAGAACGGGGGCAAGGATTTACAAGGTCTAACTGCAAGGACAGAGAATGATTTATCATAATATGTAGAGGAGCGCACAGGACATTGAAAGTAGAGATTTTCCTTGGAAGTTAGGGAAAATTATGCATAGAACTGAGCAATTTAAAACGTTCTTTTAAATAGCGAGTATATTAAATGACGCAGTCTTGGTAAAAAAAAATTGTAAACTTAGTAATCGTAACCAACCGACTTATTGCCTTTTTTTTAGGATAAAGGTGACAAACGAGCACACAGTCCACCTGATGGTCAGTGGTTGCTGTGGCTCATAGACGATACATACATAGAGACATAGAGAAACGGGTCTCCGGTTCTCTACACTAACCATACGAAACACAGTAGCGTTTAGCTTCTATATTACGCTGGTATTCTGTGTGAGGGTGTCCTACCCCGGTCGAGCCGACCCATTTGTGCTACAACTATACTACTAATGTAGCTGCAACATGAAAACGTAAAAAATTATCGGTACTAAACTACGCATTCGTAATCGAGGGTCACGCAATTTGGTTCCCGTTGTACCGTACTTGATGCAACGTATTTAGAAATTGAATGGCATTACTTGTTATGTCTTTTATTATGGTAATGCATCGGCAATGCAATATATATTTTTTTACCTCAATTCTTTGTGCCAGTCTTAACAACGCTAAGGATAATGATGATGGTAATACATTAGCAACAAACATAATACATTTATGGCGTATATTCACGAAGACTTTATGTATATGGTTGGTTATATTTCCAATATTCTGTGACCATTGAAAGTTATAAAAGCTATTAAAAACAGAAGTGTGTATACGGATCAGCCGCAATCTAGTCACCATCGTAGGTAGCTCCCGACTCCTTTGTCCTGTTCGCAATCTCCATAAACCAGCTAAACACCTACCCCAAGTTCGCCTCACGAGCGTCCCAAGGGATAGGGGAGGTAGGGGAATGTCGGGCGAAACCACCCCGCACAGTTATACGAGACTTAAAGTGCCTTATGATCTTGCGACTTGGTCCGCCCGCAACTTGGAGGATTTCAATCTTATTAATCTATAAAATCTCAGCTTGCCTCATTATATATGGTATAACATTATCGTGGATATAACGGGCAGGTATTTCTATAGCACAAATAAGTTTTAGTGTATTGCTTTGAATTCTGAAAGAAAGTAAGTAAAAAATTAAGTGACCGTCTAGAATATGCTTCCCCGTACAATACAGGGTCTCTAATTTCAAAGAGACATAACATCAATGGTAACAGAAAAGTCAATGAAGAGTCCATAACTCTGTTCCCAAATTTAAGCGCTAATAAACCACGTGTTTGCAGTGAGATAAATAAAGGAAGTAAACGTGTCGGCACTTCTAACTTACTTAACCATTTTCTTTGTGATGAAATCTAGGATTGTGTAACGTGGCAGAATCTTACTGCTCCACACTCACCATTTCTAAGATGAGTGGAGAGTGAAACCTAATGTTTAGCAGTCGGGCTTATGAGTTATTTTTTTAATAACTTTCGAGTTTAATAACCACTGAAGATACTTGATAATTTACTTCTGGTATACAGATATTCTGACGTGTTCTGTTACCATGGAGCTCTGCTCTGCTCAATGCTAAGTACATTGAGGTGCAGCGCTCAGGACCACTGATTCGAATCCCGCACGGAACAAGTATTTGTATGGCCTACTAAAAATTGTTTCGGGTTTTGATGTTGACACTTATGCAATTTTTGTATGTAACTGCCTCCAAGATACAGGAGAAAATCCTAGTGTTAAGATAAGGTTTTATTTTTATAAAAAAGAGATTATACACATAACATAAACAGACGATTAAGTATCTTCATTATATATAGCTCAGAAAGCTCTAAAATAATTCAAGTCAGTTTTCATTCTTGACGCATTAACGAAACAGAATATACTTACGTACCTAAGGTTAGAACGAATGGAGAATAAAAATAAGGTTCTATAGTTGACAGTTGCTTATAGCGCCTGGCCTATTTGACAGAACAAATAAAAGTTTTATTTATTTAGATATGATATTTTCTCATGAACGAAATATTTATCAAATGCTATTTTTCCCCAGGTCACACGTCGCGACGGGAGAGCGAGTTCAAAAAACCGGTACACGCTCCGCAGAACGGCCGTGTCCACCACCGACCGCCCTACTCCTACAACAAGGTTCTTATTTGTCTTCAGCAGTATTTATTGTATATTATGTTCTTAAGGCCATTTGTCCTACGGTTTTTTTACACTGTACTGGTTTTAAAAGCCTTTTATATGTTGAGTAGTCTTCGTGTAATGTAATAATGAAAGTAATTAAATGTAGAAATTAATAATACGAAATTAATACAGCATACAAAATTCAATCTCTTTCTACAAAAGAAAAACCTACTAAATTTAAGCGTCATAGGAGAATTTATCAACTCCAGTTTGGAGATAGTAAAATCACATAGCATCTATCGCTATAACCATTTCAAGTAAGTTAGCGTTCACATAAAAAATATATGGAGTTGTTCCCCGCGAATTCGTTCGCGTTGAAATGATTACATTTGGATTTCATGGGTTGTAATTTTTTTCTGCGGAACCCTAATTCATTTTCCAAAATTTGGAATATGTCCAAAATAAAAGTAGCTCAAGTCACTTTTTATAGCATCAGCTATAAGTTCCGTCAAAATCGGTCCAGTCGTTTCGGAGATTAATCGGAACAAACATACAGAAAGACAAACAGACAAAAATTTTAAAATTGTTTTTTTGTTATAAGTATCGTATATATGCTTTAATATGCATTTAGTTAAAAGCTGTTATTTTGACGTCACAACACTGATACTCCAATGTTATTTATTATAAACAAAACAATGACGTATTATAGCATTCACAATAAGGCATCCAATGCCAATAGGCAAGCGTGCATCATCAATCCAAATACAATAATCCAAGAAATCGAATTTTGTGTGTACCGTACCAATGTCTAGAATTGTCCTAAACGCCTTTTTTATATCCTAGCAGTTTGTAAATTAATATTATACAATTTTTTAAATTTGTTCTATTTAACTCAATTCCTAACGGGAAAATTATTTGTTGGGAATCGACTTCAAAGGCCCTTTCAGCTCGCGTAAAGTTTTAATTTTTAAGTTACTTCGCTAACTGCATTTTTGTATAGCCATCACTTATAAATGAAATCGCCGTGCTTCCGCTAAATTATGCTTAAGTGAGCCGTCGCCTCGCTGAGCTTGCTACAACTTTTAGTTTTAAAACTGTTTCCGAAGGAGTTCGCCTCCAAAACACGCCGCGTTTCCGACATTCTGTTTTTATTGTGTATATTTTGTTAACGCAGTAGCACCGTCGAGTTGAGGCTGCTTAACGGAGTTAATAGTTAATTCATTTAAAGCGAAATCGTGAAAGTCGTTGTTTCATTTACGACCTACAGATTCAAATATTTTTACAGTCATTTTACAATCGGCATTAAAACGTATTTACACTATTATGTAACTTTGCCAATATTATTTAAAATTATTTAAAATGGAGTTGCATACATACATCATTGTTGCACTTATACTGCAGCAATGAAAGACAGGCAAAGTTATTAATTTTCAATTGGATGCTATAAATGTAACCAATCAACTTCAAAAAATGACAACGTTCTCAACACGGCTGAATTTCTTTTGCCCTTTTGTAATGTTTCCGACACTATAGTCAAGTCCACACTTCATACTGTGGACTTTCCAAGCCGCACTTAGTTTGTTTCTGTAAATTAATTATTTTGTTCTACAACTTTATAAATAAAATCTCCACAACGCGAATATTATTGAAAAGAACCCACACGTTAAAAACATTTGAACATTATCTTCTGTAAATAAACAAATGAGGGATGAGGCTATACAGAAATGTTCTTGTTTACTTTATTAAGTACTTGTTTTCGCTTAAATTCTAAAAATTGTCATAATGTTACTGTTTATCCTATGTGTAGAATGTTTGCCAAAAATATCACGGTGTTGTGCTTATTACTTAAGACGCTTTATTAGTATGGCCTGTATGTATTTTGTTTATACGAGTATGTAGGTATGCATGAATGTAATAGAATTTTACCATTCTGTACTCACCTACTTCCTGACATCTGAAGAATCTAAAATCTTGCACATCTGTTAAGAACCGATGACAATATAATAATTTCATGACCATGACCTAGTATTTTCACTTGGATCATGGCAGACCATGATCAATGCGTTTAAGATTTTAAAACTCTAATACTATTTTTATATTTCTTTTTTTAATTTATGGACTTACGTTATTTTTAACACGTCAGTCCCATTGTAACTGATAACTAAATAACATTATATATACAATTTATTAAATTACTTACATAAAATACTGACTTAATTATATACCATTTGAGCAGCATTTGACAGTGGTTCCGAGAGAATGCTTTGATATTCACTTATGTTACATATTTTCATGTCAGTTTTGGCGACTAGTAGTTTTTTTTCATGATGGTTTTTGGAACATTCCGTGGGCAAGTGTTTATCTTCTATTGTCTTGCATGTTTCGCAATTTGGAGATTGTTTGTTTTTCATCATGGAAGCAAACTTGTTACACGGAATGTGTCCGGAACGAAGTCGCTTTACTAATATAAGATATTTTCTATTCAATAGACATTGATTAAACAAAGGCACTTTCGGAGGCTGACTCTGGATAGTTTTGTACTATATCCCTTTTTCTTGTGACCTTTTATCAAAATATTCTTACTAAAGTGTATAACATTTCTCATAATATTTAATTAAATTTACATTCTCTTCCTTGTGTAATATTACATTCTCTTTCTTGGGTGATTGCCAATTTCGCCAGATTATCAGCCACCTTATTGCCCTGTAAATCGATGTGTGATGGTACCCATTGCAATACTAACTCACGGTTTTTACATTGAAGTTTCAATATTTCACTTAATATCGAATATGCTATCGATACACCTCTGAGACCAGTGACGCATCGAGCTATATGTTCGAGAGCACTCTTGCTGACAGTTAGAATTACTGTTTTTTTTTTTAATTTGTTGTACCAGCATGTAATAGGGCATCATTTATAGCAATTAATTCAGCTGACATTATCGTCAAGTTATTAGAAATTTTAATTTTACATTTATTACCCATCAAAGTGTCGACACAAGCGGCACCTACACCATATTTATCTTTGGATCCATCACAAAAAGTTCGTGCCATCCGAAATATGTAACATTTAATTCGTTGATTACATTCGATTTTAAAGTATTTATCTCCTAACATCTTTTAGCACCCTTGACAAAATTTAACTCTATAAACACACTATTATTATTAACTTGTTCTAATGTAATTGCCCGAAGTAAGTGGTTTCTTTTTATTTTGCCAGTACCTGTCTTGACAGAATAAGCTGAGTTCTGTTAATAGTTTAATAGTAGTGTTTATTATATTATAGTATATATTGGTTCCAGATTTACTATTGAGACAATATTTATATGCAGAAAAATTTCTTCTAATAAATAGAGGCGTTACATTTAATTCACACTTTGTGGAACGTGTAATGGTGTACTTTTGATAAAACCTCTTATAATACGAAGTGCTTGATTTTGGATTTTATCTAATGTACAAATGTTTCTATTAGCACTCATATTATATAAAAAGCAGCCGAAATCAATTCCGCTTCTTATAAGTGATAAGTATAACCTACGTACATACTGCGGATGGATACCCCAACCATGCCCTGTTAATACTTTTAATATATAATGATTTCTTATATTTACGCGAACACTACACATTGAAATAATACTAGTTTTTACGGATTTTATCGCGTATATTTAACTATAAATACCCGACGTTTCGAGCGCTTTACAGCACCCATGGTCACGGGGAGGACTGAGATGTTCAACGTCCAAATGTCATAGTTAACAGCGGTTACCATAGATAAAAATTTAACTTTTGTTCCGATCGACACAGTATAAACTTATGGTATCTTGAAGACTTGCAGTTGTATGCTTGGGTTGGGATTTAATTTTATTTAATTCAAGCACCCCCATCATTGAAATAGATGTTATATCGCGAATCATAAGAATGTTCTTTAACGCGGGTTTGTAAATTGATCCTTCAAACCCGTCGATTCCATAACCCGGTAAGAATAGCTGATGAATTAAACCAATGTAACCAGCATTCAACTGCAAGACTAAACCAACAAGGAAAAAAATCTATGGACCATTGGACGTTGAACATCTCAGTCCTCCCCGTGACCATGGGTGCTGTAAAGCGCTCGAAACGTCGGGTATTTATGGTTAAATATACTTTTAATATATTTACAAATTTTAATATCGTTTGGCTAATTTCATTAATTTTTATATTTTACTATAATAGCAATTAGCTATTTAAACTTGTGATATTATTAGTTTAATTCGCCATTTGGTGCGGGTTTTAGGAAATCCTTCACCACATTTTATCCTATTATTATTACACTAGACGTCTAATCTAGATCGGGGATACAGCTTCAAAGGTGCTAGACGTTTAGTACTTCGATTCGTCTGCATACGAGATTATTAAGGCAAATCCACACTAGTGTAGAAAAGACCCAAGACTAGCTGTGGATTTTTGTGGCCTGATGAAGCAGAATAAAAACATTTTGTTTAGGATAATACATAATTGTTTAGACTATGCAGAAAGATAGATTTGATGCTTGTTAATAAAGATATTGAAAGTTCCTTAGCTAATAGATTTAGCTGGCATTATTATTCTTATCAACATTACGTTGCTTTCTATATAGGTTTCTCTCAGTAAATATTCTATCGTAATATGAATCGTATTTTCTGCAACCCCACATTCGACACATTGCGGTGGATTTACTACCGGCATCATATATGCAAACTTGTTTAATAAAATAGCCCAGAGAGAAGCCGAAGTGTGTGGTTTAATATCAGCAATATCCTATCATATCTTCTTATAAAATGTCGGTCGAATTAAACAAAACTTAAAACTATAAGTTGTATAGTTTTTCTCAATGATAATTTACATATTTTGTTATCTCATATCTTGCAAACTAAAATCAGTTATGGTGTCTTCCTATTAAAAAAAAAACTAACAGCAGCAGCTTGTAGCCGAAAACTTGGGGGTGGTTCAATCCCGTGCCTCGGAAAGCACGTAAAGTCGGTCCAATAGAATGAAGGAAAAGAGAGTGTACCTGTATTTGCGCCCTCTCTGGTGTTAAAATCAAGCACATGTCTTACTCTCCGTTAAAATTTTTCGGCGTGACCGAAATCACGATCAGTCTCGAGGACATTATTATTTTGCATTGTTAAGCATATATTAGCATGTTAGATAATTAAAAGATAACTGTCGGGACGTTGCTTTTGTTGAAACGATATATTGATAGTCGTCTGATTAAGTCATTTTCATAAATAAAACGCAATTTACATAATTAGTTATATTTAATTTATATTATATTTTATATAAGCGACAGTAGCCTAATGGCAGGGCGCAGACCGCGAACTCAAAAAGGTCGTGGGTTCGAATCCACCATTCGACTACTTGCGTGAACTACTCGTAACACAAGCAATTTAAGCTTACCACGAGTGGTTAAGGGGAATATTAGTAATGTGTATAACATTGTCAATATTCTTTAAAAAAAATTAGTTTAGGGCTGAGTTTTGAATCGACATATAAAAGTTATCTATCGAATAAAATTGTAGGAGGTATAATAATTTTTAATTTGCTTATGTTGTATTTTATTCCATAAAAAAAACTTATTTGAGGATTGAAAAATCGGCCCTTTAGAGACTGAAATAACTTTTAAGTCTAATATTAGAAACACGTAGCCAACACCATTAGCATTTAATGTAGTAACGCTAAGCTTGAACCATCTAATCAACCACTTCTTTTTAAATAATAAAAGGTGGAAAGCACCCAACAGTAGTTTTACATGTGGATCTGAAAGATGAGAAAGTTTATTTTTGTGAAATAATTATGACGCCTCGTTCTCCTAATTAAAAAGTTAATGGCTCTTTATTGATACAAATTTAATGTTTAAGTAAACGCCTTAATATATTTATGTATTATGACGTCTACGCAGTGAAATACGGGCTGTATTTTGTTACAGAGCGAGAACCTCAATTCAACGGGGGCACCCGCACATCGACCGCCCCCACTTCGGATATCCAATGGCTTCCAACCACAGGTTAGTAATTTATTTGTTCGTGAATAATAAGCAATATACTTTTTAGATGTTGATTTTGATCATTCTCAGTCGATTGAATCATCTTATTGGTAGGAACAATTGAGAACTATATATACACTATATACAACATGTCTTTAACAAGCTCTCTGAAACTTCAAAAGAGGCGCTCTTCATGTCCCGTGAAGTAAGGCAATAAAAATATTTTGATTCATGGCTGCTAATATTGCTGTAAGCTCGCAGCCATATTTGCAGTAAAAATATTGCCCGCTAAAAAGCCCCTAACAATCTATTCATCCGCTAGCTTTACAGCTGTATCGATAAAATTTACTCATTTGTTAGCAGCGCCGTTTTCGCTGGACGAGGCGAGTACGACGCAAACAATTCAATATTTTAACCACTTTTAGCAGTAAATCATTCAACAGCCGAGCATAAACTGGCCTTAAATTTAATCGCTTCACAACCCAAGAAAGCATAATAAACTTATGGTAAAAAAATAACATGCGCGACTGCAAATTTACACTTTACGACGCTGGGGCAAGATTTTATTCTAACTTTGAGCGTCTGGATACTCACCTGAAATGAATAAAAATATAACATGCGTAGCGTAAATGTTTTGGACCTTTACTTATTTTATAGTTTCCTGTTTGCAGAGCACCCGAAATGTTGGGAATTACAAAATAACAATCAATATCCGTAAAAAATGTTTTTATTGAATACTTAATTATTTAATCAAAAGTTTTTTAAATGCCGAAAAATACACATAAATCATTAGATCCATATTAAAATACCGATTACGAAATAAATGTATGAGTACAAACGTTCCTTTTTTACAGAGTTCCATCGATAGCAGTCAACCGCCAATAGAAAGTATTTTAAAGGTAAGTTCAATTATATATTTTACATTCTCATCATCTTTACAGGCTTTCACAAGTCCACTGCTGAACAAAGGCCTCCGCCAAGCAATGCCACAAAGCACGGTCCTAAGTGCATTCATCGACTTTCTGCGTGTGCTTACCAGGTCGCACTCCATGTTGTGAGAAGACGCTCTACACTTTTTCTACCGGTTCTATCTGCCACTGGGCAAAACAATGAAAAATAAGTACAATGTTTAAGATTTCTTGGTAACCACCACGGAGAGCAGCGCGGTTAGCCTAGTTAACTTTCTACAATAGTTCACGCTATTAAAAAAACTATAACGATAAAAAATTACTTATCTCAATGTTATGACATGTGATTATTTAATTATTTTTTTAGTTTTCTATTAGGTATAACGATACGCGGGCGACGCTAAAAGTCCTTAGAAAATCAAAACCTTTACGAACTAGCAAGTTATTAGTTTTATTATATCTTTTCAAAATAGTGTCCATTTACATCAAAACTACATCGCTGCATCCGATGGAGCCACTGAGAAAAGAACTTTGCCCACTTCGTAATTAGAGGCCACATCGAGGGCTTTTTGAAACACAGCCATTGCTTCCTTCGCGCCCATAAAACGTTTCCCTCGAAGTTTTTCTTTTATTTTTGGAAATAAATAAATATCGCAAGGTGCGAGGTCGGGCCTATAGGACGGTTGACCCTGTAATTCCACGTCTGAAATCGCCAAGTAGTCGATTATTTACTTGGCGACGTGCGACGAGGCGTTGTTGTGGTGAAGGAGGTTCCTACTGCGAGGTCGTTTCTCCCGAACTTTTCCAAAACAAATGGTAAACAATTGTTAGTGTACCACTCTGCAGTAACTGTTTATCGATCCTCCAAAACAATTGTTGCGTAATGATCTGTTCTTCCGAAGAACGAGGCCAACATTATGTTTCCCACGCTTCGACCTATCTTCCTTTTAGTTGGCAACCCTTCGGAAGGAAACACCCAGACAGCAGACTGTCTCTTAGTTTTAGGATCATAACAATAAATCTAGCTTTCGTCACCCGTAAGTATGTCGAACACAGCATTTGAGTCACCTCCGTTAACGTCTTTGAACCATTTCACGACACCAATCAACATGACGGAGTTTTTGGGCCTCTGTCAAATTATGAGGTGGATATCCACCGGGCACAAAGCTTCCTGACTGCTAAATGTTCATGGAAGATTTTGTGCACTTGACTCATACCGATGCCTAAGCTTGTCCGAATCTGCTGATAAGTTACTCTTTTGTCAGTCTCTATCATACAACACTGATGTTAACTTCAGTCGTCGCCGTAGAAGGCCGTCCCTCACGCAGATCATCGGTGAGATTAATGCGACCACGTTTAAACTCATTTAACCAGTTGCAAATAGTTGCACGAGAAGGGGTTTCATCGTGAAAGGCCAATCGAAGTCTATCATAACTTTCTTGTTGACTTAAATGACATCGAAAGTCATAAAAATCATTGTACGAAAATTTTCAATTTGCCGCTAAATCGTAAAAAAATTACAAATTAATAAAATACATACACAATAATATTGGCAAGGAGTTCCATTTTCAAAATTTGAACTTAACATTTTATTATATCGTTTACAAGTGGCCAGTTCTAAAAACTTTCAGTGTCACCTTGGTAGTAGAATGTCAACTTAGCTTATCCCGCTAGTGTGTAAAGGTTCGTAGTGTTATCGCTGCTTACTGTCTGTGGAATTCAGGTTTGACATTTTCGTATCGGCCGCAGTCAGTTCACAGAGACTAGTTAATTTAGGGAACTACGAGCAGGCAGATAAAGTGGACGTTTAAACATATATGTTCCCCCTGTATGTAAAACGTAACATGTTTTACAATATTTTGATAAATTTTTTCTCTATTCTGAATAAACAGTTAACTTTCACTACGAAATAGATCTTATAAGTTATGAACTAAATGTAAAGAGTCAGATTGGTAAGTACATCACCGTAACTGCTAGGAGTATATATAAACCGTTCCAGCGTATCCCGAGCGTGGAGACATAATTCCACGACGTCGCACAGAACAATTGTAACTTTGGCAATAAGCATACATTTGCAAATTCACTACTTATTGTCTCAAGACGGTACAAGTAACATACCTAAAGACAGTGATTCAACGTTTGTTTCGATTGGTATGATTATAGAGGCGTTGTTTTATAAAACATAAGGAATATAAAACTACGTAATTTTAAGAAATGTTTAGTTGCTCACTTTTCTAAATAATAACAGTAAAAACAGATAAATAATATTTAAATAATCGATGGTAGACGATTGTGATTATAATTAAATACCGTGTACTTTGTAGGAAGGCCTTGCACTTATCTTCTCATGTATACTTCACTGGTGATTACTTTAGTATTTGGTTATCTGATTTCACTATACCGATTCTTAATCATCTTCATAAGACTGTAAGTTAAGTAAAGTACACTATTGTATATGGGCTTTGCCCGTTGAAACGAGATTCTTCTACACCTGATTAACCATCTCTGGCACCTAGACCGATACAAATGTGATAAAATAAAAATTCGAACTGGGTAAACAAGGTCTCATAACAGTTTGTCCAAAAATATATAATACTAGTTATAATTAAAAATATCGCAAAATAGAATTTAAAGGTTAAATAAATATTTTATTTTTTTTGTAATAAATGAATAAATACGGTTTATAATTGTAGGTGCAACATTGTAACGCAATTTGCTGACAGCACATTTTTGTATGTCACCACCTACACCTACACCGATCGCCCATAGTCACGCCAGTTATCCCTAAACCTCCTAACTGAAATAATATGTAAACCATTGTGAAAGTGAATAGACTTTTATGTTTGACTAGACTTTAAGTGTCATTCCTCTCCAAATTATTAACCCTCGCGACCGTAACTCAGTGAAACACTTAGTGAACGACCGAATTCCTTTCATAAACAGAATTTTACATAAACAGAATATGTGTGTGTGTAATATATATATATATATATATATATATATATATATATATATATATATATATGTATATGTATATAGGTATACACACACATAACTCGTGACGATACAATAGTCATGAATATTGGCGGACGTGCTTCACTGCATATAGCACTTCGATGCCGAAGACGACATTTTTATAAATCTTCATTTTTACTATCTCTTTTTGCTTAAGGAAATGAAGTCCCTGCCTACCCCGTTGTCAGTGATAGCAGCAACGCCGAGGAAAGAACTTGAGAACAAGTTTATCTTCAACCCCTATACTAATAAGGTGAGCGGCTATTAAAAATAAGCTGAATCTATTAATTATAATTCATAAATACATTGAAATATTCTGTTTGAGGAAGGACAGTGTTGAATTGTTATAGGTCTGCTAACTTATAGATTTCGTAGAGCGAAAAAATAATTTTTTTGTTCTGGTTTTAATTTTAATTATTTAAAATAATTTTACTGTGTGATGATCAATTTCTATATTTTTGAACGGTTAGCGAGTAGATATCCTTGCTAAGTCAAGCCAGGTTCTTTATTATTTAGTTTGTAGTAACATTTTTTTTATTTTGTTCAAAGGTGCAAGAGAATCCCCAACTCACAAACAACGATCTCAAAACGCCACTAACAAAACCCGGTAAGTGTTACTACACCTTATTTTATTTTTATATTTACACGAGCTTATTATTACCTATGCATTAAGGAGATGAGTTTAATTTATTATTAAAATACATGATTTTCAGCAAGTTTTGTAATTTCAACGCGTAAAACCTTTAGAAACCTTTATGAACATACTTGACTTAATACAATTATATGCTAATATTCTCAACATAATAAATAGTGTGTATAATAGCAGGTAAATTATCAAAAAAATCTAGGTATTTTAAAGTTTAATAATCGAAAATTTATTTTCAAATACCTAACTATGATATTTTATTTTCTACCTCATTTATAACATGATTTATATATTAAAATAATTGAAAGCATTAGCCGTAGTACAAATAATTTTATGGATACCTGCAGCAAAAACGGGAATCTCTTTTAACGGTCTCGGGACTTCGAGTCCCTCATTATGTTGTTGAATCGCGAAATTCTCCCGGTTGATATCCAAGCGTAAATGGTCTCGCAAGTGGCCATGTCTTGCCGTACTGCTTTTTGTTTTTTGTGTCGTAGCATGCGACTTGGGCCCTTTTGTTTCTGATCATTTTAATGTTAAATATGTACTTAGCTACTTACCTACTACTACTTCCTCGTCACGTAAACATCAGATAATAATTTCTATTCAGCATCCACAATTTAAATTTTTTAAATCGCTTTATCTTTAGACTAGTATTTTAAGATTTTAAACCAAAATTTATTTCCCTGTTATGTATAAGTACTCCATTGTATCAACTATGCTGTAGCGGCTTAATTAGCTACGAGTACATAATATTACGTTTATCGTAAAAAGCATAGCTATGCCGTATCAAAACTCGAGAGTCTCGGTCCGGAACTGGAGCCTTCCCGGCGCGAAGTCTAAAATCTCTTTCCAGAAGAAACTACGATAAAAAATCTGTTTTACTGCGACCGCCACTACTAATTGGCTCGTAACTCAACCGCCTTTGAGCACCCGATGAAAAACCACTTCGGTAAAGATTGTATTGCCCTACAACTGCGGCTTGGTTCCACTAAAGAAAAATTTGTTTACGAATTTAGCTTACCGAGGTAATTAACCTGTTTGGCAAACACTATTCATTGAAACTTGAATTTTTATTATAATAGTAATACAATTATGTATTTAACATAGTATCACCATGCAATTGTATTGTGAGTGCAGGGTATGCACATGCACACAGGATATCTCACAGTATACCAGCGTGAAATAGCAGCTTAATGCTGGTGTGTCTCATATGGTGTGTGTAAAAATGTGTTTCATGTGATGAGTGACGCAAATAAGGGTCTGTATTTACTGGTTTTCCATTATACCATCTTGCTTGAAGATCAACGCATCGGAATTCGAATTCTGAATCGAACACAAATGGAGGTGTTTTCGGTATGCTTCTTTGTCACTTATTATTGTTATGAAAATAACCTTATTTATTAAAAATTCTAGTAAACTTCTCTTTTAAAAGACTAAACTAATCTATTTCTTTCGTCTTCAAATTCTGTATGAAATTAGTTTTTTTTTACGGATTTTATTGCGTTTTATCAACTTATATTTCTGACGTTTCGATTACTTTGCAGCACCCATGCATGCATGTGCATGGGGCATAGGGACCTCCTTGCAAGTTTATGAAATATTTTTACTTCTCTGACAAGCAAGTTTTCCTCTCGATGTTTTCTTTTTCGCTGATCACATGGTAAATGATTAAAAAAAGATAATTAATAATTTATTGGCTGGGATCGAACCGAGGTTGGTCGCCTTCTTGTCGGATTACCAGTGGGTGCTTAATTCCGGGGAATCTGCCCCTACGACTATGCGATTTAGACCATGCGATTTTTAATTTTATTTCGTTTAAATTAAAGAAACCATTCTACTGTATCTACTAACAAATCCCCTTAAAGAACTGTTCTAACCCGTAAATTGAATTGAAGCTTAGTTTTATTCTTCGAAAAGATTCTTTTGTGGAAAGGGAAACTTCTAAATTGGCATCACTATAAGAAAGAGTAAAGTTAGAGAACAACGTCGCGTTTAGGGTTTCTCATAATGTTAGAATAAAATGCAAGAAATTGTTATAGGAACCCGGAATAAATGCATAAATCGTATAGTTGGTAGTGCCGGCTGCAGCTATATTATGGTTGTAGCACGTATGTATCCACTCGACCGGGGAAGGACCACGCTCTCACAGAATACCAACTTTAAATAGCAGCTTAATGCTGTTGTGCTTAGCGTGGTGACTGTAGAAAACTGGGAGACCCTTTTTACTGGAAATAAGGCAATCCGTTAATAGTTGTATTTCTTTATATTTACTCAAACATTACACACTTCATGAAACGTAGTTTAACGTCCTAATGTCATAGCTAACCGTAAAATTTACGGTAGCAATTTAATATTATTAAGACAAAACTTGGCACTGTTATTCAAACATGTTAGAAAAACGGAAAGAACAGTTCTTGGAATTAGTTCCCGATATCAGTCGATACCGCAGGGACGCTGGAGGGCAGCGTTTGATTTAATGATGTCGATTGTCGATCCTTTATTGATTTCGACTGCGCCGGTGGTATGTGATCTTTAATTGGCGTTGGAATGGAGGCGAGCGTGTGTCGAATGACAATGTTGTGTATTTTTAATATCGACGTTATCGATAAGCTTTGTGTTTTTTAATTAAACGGTTTTATTTATCCGTTTACCATCATATACTTACACATACATTCGTGACATATGTGTAAGTATATGATAGATGAGGGCTTAGAGCTCGCCGGCACTGTATGGGTGCAACCTAGGTGCTGTCTCAGCCGGTACCACTGACATTGATAATTGCAACTTAGAGCTCTGATTTAACTTATGCTCGGCGGTGAAGGAAAACATCGTGAGGAAACCTACGCTGACTTGTGAAGTCCGCCAACACGCAATAGAGTAGCATGACGGACTAGTCGTTCTATAATCCTCTCAGAAATGAAGACAAGTCCTATGGCTCTAATTTTACTTTGACACATATTCAGCTAAATATTAATTCCTTAAAGTTTTTCAAAGTGGTTTTTAATGTGGTTATATTTTTTTACGAAATAAGGCTATATAAAACTCTCTGCTTACCAAAAATATAATAAAAAATAAGTTTTATACGAAGCTAGATACTTGATTTTATATTAAAAATTAAATATCCTGAAATGTTATTCAAGTTTAGTAGCTACCCTTATATAGTGTAACAAGCAATCATTTTATCATACAGTTATAAATATGTATGTAATTATGTTAGCCTTAATAGCATTATTAAACGCAAGTCGTAATATTTTAATAAATACTTAAACGGTTTGAATTATTACAATAAACCGAACAACAAGTTTATTTCTTTATGATATTCCATTGGAAGCTGGACGCAAGTTCACCAACTAAATTGGTGATATATTGTAGATGGATAAAATTAAGAGTGCTCGTAACCGACGAGTATGTATGCGTAGAGATATGGATATTAAAGAAGGGAGATAGATGTGTCAGGATCGCGCCAAACGCTAGTCCGTAGTCTCTGCCTTTACCTTCTTTTTTTTTTTTTGCGCCCGAAGCAATTATGGGCAACCCTCCGGAAAGCGGGGGAGGGAGGTTGGGAATGCTCATAGCATACCACGCAGCCGGCTGCGTGGTTATGTGGTGACTTTTACCCACTAAACCCAACCTTTTAGGAAATGGCTTAACGATCTGACTAGAGATCTCTAAGCCGTATACGAACGCTACCCTCCTTGGCAGAAAGGAGGGCGCAGCTTTACCTTCTCTACCTTCACTCTTGGTAAAAGGCGTGTGAGAGTTTGTTTAAGTTTTAGTGTTGTTTTTAACCCGTGAAATTTTCGGAATGACGACTTTTTAAATGATTTAAATAAATCAAGTTGTATCTGTATCCTGTGTCCAGCAAAAGCAGTATCTAATCAAATTTTTAAGGCATCTCATATTGCGATCAATTCATGCGCCAAGTGTGGCCATAACGGTAATTTTACGATGAATGGATTGTTATCGCATTAACGAGTAAAGCTACTATGTGTACAAAATGTACTTACTATAAAATGACCATCATTTTTTCATTGAATAGCCCTGTTGATCGCACAGGCATCATCATCATCATAGGCAAAATGTAATCACGAACCTCATCTAGTCGTCACACGAGTATTTAACCTAAACTTCGTTTGTTGGCACAAGGTTTTTGTTCTAATAAAATAAGGGTGACAAAGGACCACACAGTGCACCTGATAATACGTGAATGCTGTCACCCGTACACACCTACCTACACATCCAACCACAATTAAGAATTATAGATGCGTTTTCAACTCTGATGGTCCTCAGTTGTCTGTCTCACAATAAGAAACATTTGCAGGATTTATCTGTTAATTTACGCTGGCATTCATTATGAAAGTTTGTTTAATCCCGTTCGAGTCGAGACATTCGTGTGAAATCATAATAAACGAGTAGCCGCAGCATGGCTCTACCACATTAAAGTGGCTAGGCTGGTACTAAGTTAGGACAGATACTTCCTACCTCTCTCACGGTTATCGTCCCTATAAGACATTTAGCGGGCTTGTGTGACTTAAACTTGTAACATTAGTGATAAAAGTTAAGCCCTTATGTATCGAGATCAATATTTTAGTCAAAAATTTTTGATTTAGATTGACTAATTTAATTATTTCTATGATATTATCTATTACGAGTAAAATAATAACTTTCATCATTTACAAATTTAAAGAAGAAGAGATTTGTGTACTGAGTTATAAACCAGTCCAAAAATAGCCGAAGCATATTTTAACGCATTTCATTAAAAAAAATACAATTCATACCGATGCGTTAGGGTCAATTGCGACTGAATAAAAGCTGAAATGAAATATAAAAGGGTCGTTTACACGTATCAGGCTTACAGAAATTACACATGGTCCGACAGCGCCACCTGTCGACGACGGGAAAAATAAATTATTTTTACACAAAACAAAGCTGAATAAACATTTCGCGTCGACCAATAC